GGGAGAAAAAGAGAGAGAGTGAGTCTCCTGTAGGTCCAGGCTAGAGCCCTGGGCCTTATATGGGTCACTTGGAAAATGTATCGTTCATGTTATTGCCTAAAAAAGAAAAAAATACTGCCTGTTAAAATATAACAGCTCTGTGGGGCATGGTGGCACACTCTTTTAATCCTAGCACTCGGGAGGCAGATTCAGCCAGGGTACAGAGAAACTCTGTTTTAGAAAGAACAAAAAAAAAAAAAAAAAAAATGGGGGCTAGAAAGGTGGCTCAAAGGCTAAGAGCACTGTCTTCTCTTCCAGATGGTCCTAAGTTCAATTCCCAGCAACCACGTGGTGGCTTACAACTATCTATGAGATCTGGTGCCCTCTTCTGGCGTGCAGATGTACATGCAGACAGAACATTGTATACATAGTAAATAAATGTTAAAGACACAAAAAAAATTACACACACACACACACACACACACACACACACACACACGCCAGCACCCTTCCTTATCGGTTGGACATTTTGTTTTTAGCTAGGCATGGTGAAAATACACACTGTCATCCAGCACTTGGGTGACACAGGCAGAATGAGCAGGAGGTCAAGGCCAGCCTCATCTATGTAGCAACTTTAAAGGCAGACTAGACTCCATGGTGGGGAGGGGGATCTGGGAGATGGCACTTGCTGCTTTTGCAGAGGACCTGGGTTCAGTTCCCAGACTGCCCAGGGGTAAAAGCACCGACCGTCCAAGCCTGGGAAACTGAGTTTGATCCCATGAAGGAGGAGGGCCACAAAGTTGTCCTTTGACTCCACACACATGCAGTGACACACATGCTCTGTCCCATCATGCACCCCCGTACAATGATAGTACATCTAAAAGCGTTTTTTTGTTTGTTTGTTTTAGTTTTAGTTTTCAAAGACTTTTATTTTTGCCGTTGTTTATGAGACAGAGCCTATGTAGCTCTGGCTGTCCTGGAGCTCACTCTCTAGAGCAGGCTGGCCTCAAACTCACAGAGAGCTGCCTGCTTCTGTCTCCCAAGTGCAGGGATTACAGGCTTGTGCCACCTGCACCCAGTGTTGTTTATTTTCACTGATGTGTTTTGGTGTATCCCAAAACACATGGAATGGAGCACATGTACGGAAGCTCCCCGAGTTCATGTAGTGCTGAAGAAGGCCAGAAGAGGGCTCCAGATCCTTTTGGAAATGGAGCTACTAACAGCTTAGCCACCGTGTGAGTGATGGGATCTTGACTGGGCCTACATAAAAAGACAACCATGGTTTAAAAAAATAACGATGTATTCCTACTAAGTACATCTGTATGTGCAGAGTCTGACCCCTGGGATGATATTGGGGAGGAGTGTTGGGTCCCCTCTGAGTACTCCTATCAGCGAGCTGTGTTCACAGACCCTGAGTACTCCTATCGCAGACCCTGGCCTCCACGCCCTGCGGAGTGTGGATGATGCAGCCTTTGTTTGGAATCCTCCACTACTCCCCAGTGCTCAGTGTTCTCCCTATGTTCGTGAGAGAAGGCCTCGCCTGAGTATGTCACGGTTGTTGCGTGATGGCTGGGATCTTGAGCTTCATCCTGATCCAGAGGGATTAGACTGTGTGGATGGAGGCCACTGCTTAGAACAGATGACAAGTGGGGTGTCAGTCATACCACGTGTTAACAAAAGTTCGGGGAACTTGTTCCCTGCTAGGCCCATGCAAGGGATGGGAGACACCGCTAAACCAGACACCACACCAACCCTTACTGACCTCAGTTGCACTATTGTAACCATGAAATGTCCTGGCTCTGCGGCCCCCTTAATGGAGCTAATAACTCAAGACAGAATGATGGGTGAAGACAGGCAGGCCTTGGGTCGAAGTGCAAAGCTTACGTGGACTGATAAGAGTATCTGACTTGGGCCATAGCTCGGTAGGCACAGGGATGGTCATTCATTCTCGCTAGAGTCAACTCTCCTCACATTGTTTTAATGCTGTATTCAGGGCACCAAGGTTCCAGGAGTCCTGGCCCCAGTAAGCCTAAAGAAAGGCCACATGTAATGCAAATTAGCAATCCCAGCACTTGGGTTGTGGAGGTTGATGAAGTCTGTCCTCAAGTCTGTCCTACATAGTAAGCTCAAGGCCAGCCTGGGCTACATGAGACTGGGATATTGTTGTTGTTGTTATTTTAAGGAACCAAATAACCCAGGAATGGTGGTATACACCTTTAATCCCAGCACTCAGGGAGGCAGAGGCAAGCAGATCTCTGTGAATTTGAGGCCAGCCTTGTCTAAAAAGTACAGGACAACCAAGGCAAGAGAGAAAAAACCCTGTCTTGAAACACCATAAATAAACAAACAAACCAAATAAAGACTACTGAGTAGGAGGTTTGTATCAGGTGGTAGTCTCTGGTTCTTGTCTTATCCAGTTGTCTATAGGTTAACTAGTGTGAGAGACAGACACAACACAAACACTGGAAAAACGGGCTTGCTGGGAGCCAACTGGCACACACTTTGGCTTCATGGGGAAGGGCCTCAGCTGTAGGAGTGACTGGGTCCTGTGGTTACTGTCTGAAGATGCTTTCTGTTGCTGTAACTGAATACAGCTGGCCGGGTTGTTTACAAAGAATAAAGGTTTACTGAGTTCATGTTTCTGCAGGGTAAGAAGCCCATAGCGCTGGCACATGGGAGGGCCTTCTTGCTGTCTCATGACATGGTAGAAGGTGTTACACAGGAACCCCTCCTCCTCCTCCTTTTCTTTTGAGGCAGGGTCTCTCTACATGTAGAGAGACCTAACCTATGTAGACCAGGCTGGCTCTATACTCAAAGATCTGCTTGCTTCTGCCAAGTGCTGGGATTACCACTTGCAGATTATTTATCTGTTTTATGTAGGAGTGCTGTCGCCTTTTTATGTATAGGCGCATGAGCCTGGTACTAGGTCAGAAAAGAACACAGGGTCCCCAGGAACAGAGTTATGGATGGTTGCAAGCTGCCATGTGGTGCTGGGAACTGAACCAGCATCCTCTGCAAGAGCAGCCAGTGCTCTTAACCACTGAACATTCTCTCTAGCCCCAAATATATTTTTTTAAGATGTATGTATTTTAATTTCCTGTGTAGGGGTGTTCTGCCTGCATGTATGTCTGTGTATCACCTACATGCAGTGCCCACAGCGACCAGAAGAGGGCATAGGATCATCAGGAACTAGAATTACAGGTAGTTGTGCTCCACCACATAGGTGCTAGGAAGTGAACTCCAGTCCTCTGCAAGAAAAGTAAGTGTTCTTAATCACTGAGCCATCTCTCCAGCCTGAGTACACATTCATCCGATTGGCCAGGTGAGCCTGTATATGCGTACATGAACACACATATGTGCATAGGCGCATGTGGACCAAGAAGTTAATGTCAGGTGTCTTCCTCAACCTCTGCCCACCTTATTTTTTGAGAGAGATTTAAAAAAAACAAAACAAAACTGATCTTGTCATTTCAGCTAGACTGTAAGCATAGGAATCCTAGCCAGTGGGAATCCTGGCCCAGCTTTTACCCAGGAGCCGGGGATAGAACCAGGTCCTCAGGCTTGCACAGAAAGCGCTTTACCAGCTGAGCTGCAGCTCTGGCTGCCCACTCTCTCTAGAAAGCCGTCAATGCTGCAGTGAGAGCTCAGCACTCCCCTCATCTAACCCAAGCCACTGCACAAAAGTCCCATCCCTAAGCCCTAGCGACACATGGTTGGGGGAGGGGGGCACGTGCTGTCTGAGGAAGTGCTAAGTCACCCTGGAGAGTGTTTCAGGGAACAGCGTCTGCTATATCGCCTGTGGATAACCTTTTACATAATGGAAGCCTACCAACTGTGCTTGGCTAGCACATCACCTCCGACTGCACAGTGAGTGCTCTCACCACCAGGATCTCAGCGCAGCGCAGGAGAAGTACATAGAAGGAGGCATGGCGAGCGCAGGCCGGCTACCTGCTACTCACGCTGCTTCAGAATTGAGTGTGGTGACTTCCAGGAATGCTCAGGAGCATGCTGTGCCACGTTTCTTATTCCGAAGCACAGTGTGCCAGGCACGCCGGCTGCCAGGTCATACCTGCATTTTCTCCTACAGATAAGCGGCTGATGCAAGGACTCGACCACAGCAACTATCTGATAAACTAATACATGAGCTGTGAGGGGCCAACTGGGAAGAGAGAGAGAACATGAGAGGCAGAGGCCAGAAAATAAAGGAGCGGCCTGTTGCCAGAGGAGGAAGCTCAATGGTCAGTGTGGCTGGCATGTGGTGGATGAGGGGACAGGAACTAGAGAAGCGGGAAGGGGTTGATCTGGGAGAGTCCATCTCCACAGGACAGTGAGGGAAGGGCACTGCCGAGCTTCAAACTGAATAAAAAATACTGAGATGTAAAAGTGAACTCATACTCCTGTAAATTCCCTCAGAAGACTGAGACAGAGCCAGGCACAGTGGCACGTGTGTGTGTGTGTGTGTGTGTGTGTGTGTGTGTGTGTGTGTGTGATCCCAGCACTCAGAAGACTCTGTGAGTTTGAGGCCAGCCTGTTCTACAAAGTGAGCCCAAGGCTACGTAGAGAAACCCTGTCTCGAAAACCAGAGGAAGGAGGAGGAGAAGAAGAAGACTGAGGTATGGGATCAGGAGTTCCAGGCCAGTCTGGGCTACATGGTGAGGCCTTGTTGCAATAAACAAACAAATAAACAAATAAAATGTCAACTCACAGAAATCAGCAGGGCTAGAAATGGGACTCAGGCCTGCTTTGCTCTGACATCTGTTCTCTCAGCCCCCTCTGGGTGGGAAGCAGGGTAGACTGACCTACTTTTAGCTCTGACCACTCAGGAAGTGGGGACCTAGGAGGGAGGAAAGGACCACCTCCTAAATGGCACAGCGGGTCAGGGTCCAATTCAGATATGAGGTCTCCAGGGTCCCAAGCTCCCCACCCACGCTCAGCTCCAGCAGGCCAGGCCAGGCCTCGGCCTCAGTCCCACCATTCAGAGCCCCAGAGAAGCCTCAGCTGCTTGGAGAGCAAAGGGTCACCTGTATTCCAGGAAGCTGTGTCAGCCGGGGCCAGGTTCTCAGTCTGTACTGGTGGTGGCTGGTTCCGGCCACCTAGAGCTCTCCTGTCCATGCGGGCTCCAGGCAGACCTGGACTCCCGAGGCAGCAGGTGACATCTGCCCTGTTCTATTCTCTGCTCACCCTGCTGGGTGCAGCCTGAAATCCAGCCCTGTGACCCTTCAGTCCTGTTGAGCCTTCCACCAGCGCTCGTGCTCGGAGACCAAAGGGCTCTGAGCCACAAAGTCCAGGGGACAGTTCTGGGACCCATGGCCAGACAGCCCAGCAGGCCTGCAGCCCCTCCCCTCTGTGCAACACCAGGATCAAAGATCTTGGGACAGACAGATTACTGCTCTGGCTTGCTCTATTTTAGGGGGAAAAAAATCCCTAGGATGAAGCTGCTGAGTCAGAAGAACCTGCATTCATTCATTCATTCATTCGATCCTTTGTTCATTTACTTGTTTGCTTGTTTGTTTGATTGTTCAGAAGTAAGCTTTCACTATGTAGACCAGGCTGGCTTTGAACTCACAGAGCTTTTCTTGCACCTGCCTCTGGACTTCTAAGAGTAATGCTGTGTACCACCATGGCCAGCTTATTTATTTATTTAGAGAGGTCTCCCTGTGTATATCTGGCTGACAGTGGATCTCAGAGCCTTGGACTTGCTGTGATCTGTATGCTCCTGCCTTAGGAATGCTGGGACTACAGGTATGCACTACCATGCCTGGCTAATTTTGTTAGAAAACAAACTTCGTGTCTGTGTACACATGCAGAGGTGTGAGCATCAGTGTGCCAAGGAGGTCAGTGTGCATGTGGAGGTCAGGGCACAGCCCTGGGTGGCATTCCTCACCCGCACCCTTTTTGAGACTGTGTTCACCGCTACATGAATCCAAGGCTTCCTGGGTCTCTGGTTTCTGTCACCCTTCTTACCTTTGGAATGCTGGGATTGCAAATGTGTGAACAACCCTGCCTGCCTTTATGTGGGTTCCAGGAGTCTGATCTCAAGTCTTCAGACTTGTACATGAGCGGAGGTTGCTTGGGAATAAAAATGGGGGACAGTGGGGAGAGGGTAGGACTACGGAAGAGCACTGAGAACTTGAGGGTTAGGGGAGGTTTGCATGACAGTTCATTCCCTTCATCACAGCCAGGTTTTCCCAGATATACACTCTTAGATTCATCAAATTGCTACATGTATGGACTTTATTGTATGTCAGCTATAGTCAGTTGCACTTCACTAAAAGTGTAAAAAAAAAAAAAATGAATACAGATAACTAGGCCCCCAAGACCTTTCTATGACCCCAGCATCTGCACAAGGTCCTAGGCAATCCAAAATTTCCAAGGCATCACTTTTCAGCCTGTTAGCTATGATCAGGTATTTAAAAAAAATGTAAGTAGCAGTCGGGCACGATGGTGCACGTCTGTAATCCCAGCATTTGGGGAGGCAGAGGCAGGAGGATCTCTATGAGTTCAAGGCCAGCCTGGTCTACTAATCGATTTCTGGACAGCCAAGGCTACACAGAGAAACCCTGTCTTGAAAATAATAATAATAATAATAATAATAATAATAATAATAATAATAACAACTAAGGGGTTGGAGGTTGGAGAGATGGATCAGTGGTTAAGGCTATTTCCCACTCTGTAGGATCCTCAAGGTTGGTTCCCAGCACCTATATCAGGTGATTCACTACCACCTGTGTCTCCAGCTCTGAGGGATCTTAAAACTTCTGGTTTCCACAACACACAGGTGGCAGACACACATACACATAAATAAAATATTTTATATTAAGTAACAACAACAATAAACAGTAAAGCTTCCAATGCAGTTCAATGCCTCCTCAAATTAGCTTGAAGCCAGCCTGGTCTACAGAGTGAGTTCCAGGGTAGTCGGAACTGTCTCAAAAAAAACCCTGTCTCAAAAAAAATTCCTGGCCTCTGAGGGTACTCCACCATGCATGTATGAACACACACACACTTTTTAAAAATAAATATTAAAAAATATTCTGTTATAGAAGAAGGTCAAGCAGGGGCAAACCTGGCCTGTTACCTATAGAGAGAGGGTGTCACCACTGAGCAGACAGGCCTTGAAGTGAACTACGCCCCAGGGAAGGAGCTGGAGCTGGTTCGTGTCTACTGTGAATGTTTCTGTGTCTGGAATTACCTAGATGTGTGTCTGTTAGAGTATTTCCAGAGAGGTTGAACTGAGAAGGCTGGTGTTCTCTTATGTGCTGGGGACTGGAACCAAATAAAAAGGAAAAGGAGAAAGCCAGCCAACACCATCCCTCCTTGCCCTCTGCTTCCTGCTCTGTGCAGTGAGAAGCTGAGCACTCCGCTCACGCCCTGCCTTGCCCTTCGGGATGGACAAAGTGTGAGCCAAAATGACTCTTTCTCCTTTTTATCATCTGTGTTGTGGTCAAAACATCAAGATAAGGAAGTAATTCTTGCTCCAAGAAACAGAACTGATCCCAGCGTGTTAGCACAAAACAAGAAGGAGAGGTCAGGAAGACATGAAAATCCCCAGAAGCAGCAACGAAGATTGAAGGTCCAGTCTGAGCCGCTCAGGAAGCCAGGGCTGCCTTGTGGAGTGTCCCAGCCTGCCTCTCCCTGGACCTTCCCTTTCTGCTCTGCTATTCAGCATTAGCAGGCCAGAAATGCCCCAAAGGGATTTTTTTCTGAGTTCTGAATTACAGGTTCTTAGGGTAAGAAAAACCCTTCAGACTCTCCAGCTGCTGATGACTGATGAATTCACCGGCTATTCAGGAAACTCAGATTCTCTGTGTTGCCCAGGCTGGCCTCAGACTCCTGGGCTCTAGTCATTCTCCCACCTCAGCCTTCCACAGACCTGGGACTACAGGTGTGGTTTCACAGGCAACTTCCTCCCTCCCTCCTTTCTTATTATATGTGTGTGTTGGGGCTGGGGAAGGGGACACCTTGCTATGACATTGGTGCTGAAATCAAAGAACAAATTCATAAAGTCAGTTAGTTCTGTTCTACCTTTATGTGGGTTCTAAAGATCCGACTCAGGCCACCAGGCTTTCATGGAGAGTGCTTCAATCAGCCAGGCATCTTGTCAGCCACAGACTTACTTTAACTATTCTTTAGATTTTATTTTATGTGTTTGGTTTTTTTTTTGCCAGAAGAGGGCGTAAGATCCACTGGAACTGGAATTAATGTCCCTTCTGTCAGTTCTGAGGTGCTGTGTCAGTGCTGGGAATCAAATTTGGGTCCTCTGGGAGAGCATCCAGTGTTCTTAAGCACTGAGCCATCTCTCCAGCCTCGCCCACCCCCAGAATTACAGCTGGAGACAGATCCACCATCAGAAATTGCTGGCTTTGTACACGTAAATTCTCGCTGAAATCTGTTACAGACCTCTGCTTAGTCTCTCCCAGGTTGCTTCCAATGCTAGCCGGGCTTTCTCTACAGAGAATCTACCACCATGTTCCTCAAATGTGCCTGTGTGTGTGCAGTGTACATGTGGGCTCTGGGTGCCTCTGAGCTGAGTTACAGGCAGTCATGAGCCACCTGTCCTGGATGCTGGGAGCTGAACTGAGGGCCCTCTGCAAGAGTAACAGTATTCTTAACCATTGGGCCATCTAGCCAGCCATCATTTATTTCTCTCTCCTTTCTCTCTCTCTGTGTGCCTGTGGGTGCACAGCTAACTTGAGGTGGACAAACAAGCATCTACGTCCTCGAGAGCCACTTCTGCAACTGTTACCATGGTGACCTTGCCTAAGGTGTCACACAGAGCAGAGCTAAGGGGAGGGTTGCCTAGCTGTGGCGGCCTTAAAAATCTGTGATCAACGCGGAATGGGAAGGTCTGTGCAGTTTTGCCATTGGCTTCAGATGTGTCACTCCGTGGGCCGGTCCTGAGTCACACCCTCCTCCCCACTGAAGGAAACTGGGCAACCTCTTCCAACTGTATGGACTAAGAAGGCAGAAGAATTGGTTCTCCGAGACAAAGCCAGAATTCCACATCCAGGAGGAATCCTGCCAGCTGTGCAGGCGCCAACATTAGTCAGAAGAAGAAGGCAAAGATGGGAGAACTGTGAGTTTGAAGCCAGCCTGAGCTACATCCTTCTTCATGGAAGGAGAGAACTGACTCCCACAAGTTGTCTTCAGATCTCCACAAAGATAAATGAAATGGATTCACCTGCCTCTGCCTCCCAAGTGCTGGGTTTAAAGGCATGTGCTACCATGCTTAGCTGAATGTAATGAAATTTTCAAAAATAGAAACAAACAAACAAAAAACCTTTAAAAAGAAAACCACACACACACACACACACACACACACACACACGAACATAAATAAATGTAACCAGACAATGGTGGCGCAAGTCTTTAATCCCAGCACTTCAGAGAGAGGCAGAGGCAGGTGAATTTCTGAGTTTGAAGCCAGCCTCTTCTACAGAGTGAGTTCCAGAACAGCCATGACTACATGGGGAAACCTTGACTGGAAAAACAAACACACAAAAATAAAAAGCTAGACGAAAAACTAAACAAACATAATTTTTAAAAAGCTGAAAAGCGGTGGATGGAGATGGTTCGACAGAAAAAGGCACTCACAGCCAAGCCTGAGGAGCTGAGTTCAGTCCCCGAGACCCACAGGGGAAAAGGCAAGAACTGAGTCCCACAGGTTGTCTCCTGTCTACGCACTGCAACACAGGGACACACACAGAGGGAACAAGCATTTGTAACTTAAGGAAAAGAAAACAAGACCAGGCATAGCAGCCCACACTTTTAACTCAGCACTGGAGAGGCAAGTGGATCTCTTTGAGCTAGAGACCAGCCAGGGCTACACACTAAGACCCTATCTTAAAAAAAAAAAAAAGCAAAACACATGCAAAGAGAGAGAGAGAGAGAGAGAGAGAGAGAGAGCAAGTGAGCTAGGGTTGTAGCTAGTTAATAGAATGCTTGCCTGGCAGGCATGAGGCTCTGGGTTTTCCCCCAGTATCTCATAAACTGGGCATGGTGGTGCACATCATTTCCTAGCGCTCAGGAGGTAGAAGCAGAAGGGTCAATGTTAGGACCAAATAAAATGACGACACGCACAGCCGATTTTATATGAAAGAGGTTTGTTAGGTGGAGATGAAGAGATAGAGAGAGGAGAGAGCAGGACATGATAGGAGGAAGGGAGAGGGGAGTCCTGACAGAGAAAGGGGAGAGGGCAAGAGAGTAAGAGGGCAAGAGACGAGAGGGCAAGAGAGAGACAAAGTGGCAGGT